TATGCGTTGCCTACCTTAAATCGACGGAGGAGAAGATGCAAAGAAAGAAAATATCTTCCCTTTCCATGCATCCTCTCATCCGGAAAGTCCACTTACACTTCCCATCCTTTCCTTATAAGAAAAAGGTGGGAAGGGAAAGAGGACTAAATTAGGCCTCCGGGACGCACACTCATCAGACTGTACTTGGAATAGCTTCCACTTGAGGCGTGTCTTCTGTGTGGTCGTGGTATTACACCGGGCGAGCCGGGACAATTCATGCGAAGATGTTAAAGCGGGCTCTACCACTGTTAAAACTGTGACTTACGATAGTCTACTAAGGAGCCATTGATACATCAAATTTATACTTAGGCTTAAAATCTACTACAGCAATTGTATCTAGCAACAAATCTACTTATATTTCATTGCCAAGACTATTATATTGGGTATTTCGTATTGCACGCAGACGATAGTTTGGCAAGTTGCCAGCAATTTTTATATCCAATATAATCCATTATATATCCATCGATTTATCCATTGGATACGTACTTGATGTCTTATATCGTAATGGATTTTATTTTTAAAGTAACAGTGGTAGAGCGAGCTTTAACATGTTCGCACGAATTGTCCCGGCTCGTGATGAAATACCACGACCACACAGAAGACATGCCTCAAGTGGAAGCTATTCCAACTACACGCTGATGAGTGTGCGTCCCGGAGCTCTAATTTAGTCTTCTTTCCGAAGTGAAAGTGGACTTTCCGGGTGAGAGGATGCCTGGAAAGGTAAAATATTTTCTTCATGTGCATCCTCTCCTCCGTCGATTAAAGGTAGGCAACGGTTATGCATTTGCGTATGTCTATGGGTTACTTCGCTATTTCAGCGATTTCAGGTGGCCTCTCGCTCGTTTGCCATCTTATGATATAAAAAAAGTGCCCGAACTCCGTCTACAAAGAATTAAAAGAAAACTTAATTAGTAGTCTATGTGTTCTTCCAGACTATGTTCTATATGTATGACAAATTTCATCAAGATTTATGCCGCCGTTCTGGAGATACCTTCAAACAAACATCCATCTTAACTTTAGCATTTGTGTATAATATAATAGTTGGATGCAATTTGGATGTAAGCGTCGGTGGCTCAGCTGTCAAGCACTTGACTTGCAATCTGCAGGTCGTGGGTTCGAATCCCGTACTATACCAATGTGTTTTTCCATTTCCTATTTACATATGTACATTTATCTGATGTTACGGTGAAGGAAAACATCGTGTGCACATATCTGAGAAGAAATTCAAAGATATGTGTGAAGTCAACCCGCACTTGGCCAACGTGGTTGACTATGGCCTAATCACCCTTAACTTAAGGTAGGCTCCGAGCCCCTCAGTGGAGACGTATAGTAAGCTGATGATGAATCTGGATGTATAGATAGATGTTTGATTATATCTCCAGAACGGCTGAACGGATCTTAATGAAATTTGTCATACATATAGAACATAGTCTGGAAGAACACATAGACTACTTATCAAGTTTTTTTTCCTTGCGCAAGGACTCACAAGTGACAGTTTGGTTTAAAAACATAAATTGGTACATCACTATTTTAATAAACATGTTCTTTGCAATAAATGCATGTTGAATCTGTAATAACACGAACGTAATAATTTATGTTAATATATTAATGAATAAATTGCACTTTCCTTTAATACATACGTTATACACGCCCTAGAAAATGTATTTCACTTGAACTGAATTAACTACAGAAACGTAATTATAGTGTCTTTTAATTGCGCGGACAGAGTCGCGGGCGACAGCTAGTTTATATCACTAAGACAATCTTACTATCTTGTTATGCTATTGTTTAGATGGAGAAACGTCAATAACCTAATAGTTAAGGGTACGGATTTCCGATCACGAGGTCGGAGGTTCGAATCCCGTCATTCGACTATGGTAAACCATATCCTAGCACAAGCTTACAGCTTAGTTGGAATGGTACAAGAAATATTAGCAAATTTAAAAAAAAATGGATGTTTGAAGGTATCTCCAGAACAGCTGAATGGATCCTCTTTCTCTTTCTCCCGTTTTTTACGAAGAAAGGACAGGGACGCATATGAAGCTATCATCTCTTTCAGTGTGTCTTCTCTTCCTTAAATTAAAAGAAGACATGCATCTATAGTCACAAATGTCTATGGGCGGCGATTGCTTCGCTGTTTTGATGAATTTAGGTGGTCGCTCACTCGTTTGCCAGAACTTACTAATATTATAAATGCGAATGTATAGATGGATAGATGGATGTTTGTTTGAAGGTATCTCCAGAACGGCTCAATGGATCTTGATGAAATTTGGCACTGGTGTAGAATATAGTCTGGAAGAACACATAGGCTACTTGTTATGTTTTTTTTTATACCGGACGTAGTCGCGCGCGACGTCTAGTATTGCGATAAAATAAAGGTGACACAATACATCGAATTACAAAAAAAACTTTCTCCTAGGACCTCATTAGTAACCGGTATTAAGAATATTATTTTTGTTTTAATTAGGATCCTATCATAGTTTCGATCTTTAGGGTTCCGTATTAAATATACATAGAGCGCCGGTGGCTCAGGGGTCAAGTGCTTGACACCTGAGCCACCGACGCTCAATAAAAAAAAACATGTCAAACCTATATTACTCCTTCAATTCGAAAAGAATCATTTGATGAGAAGATTCGAATCATTTCGTGCAAAAGATGGAGAAAGTAAATCGTGTTTGTGCGTGAATTCTTGTAAGGAAAATTTATTATCATACAATTAGCATGTAATTTAAAATATATACTTATTTGTTACAATCCAAAGTGGAAACTTAATAAGTAGCATATGTGTTCTTCCAGATTTTCTACATCTGTGCCAAATTTTAGCAAGATCCATGTAGCTGTTCTGGAGATATCTTCAAACAAACATCCATCCACCTATCTAAAGCTTCGCATATATAATATTAGCTGTCGACCGCGACTCTGTCCTTGCGGAATTAAAAAAAAATTCTTAACAAAGTAGCCTATGTGTTCTTCCAGACTATGTTCTACATCTATGCCAAAATTCATCGAGATCCGTTTAACCGTTCCAGAGATAAAATCAGACAAACATCCATCTAAACATACGCATTTATAATATTAGTAAGATATAGTTTAAAATCTCATAACTTTTATGTAAATATCTTCGTTCTTTTGTTTTTTATTCTAGAATGAATTATGTACGGAACCTGAAATAAAAATTAACATTTGACCGATTTTAAAATTCTAGTTTTGATATTCACGATAACATGAATATATTCAAATCAAAGACGAATAAAAAATATTGAGGTTATATTGTTCAAAACGATTTCGAGTTTGTTTTGCAAAGGATATGTTGAAATATTAAACAACTAGCTGTCCGCGACTCCGTCTCCAAACAAAAAAACTTAATAGTAGCCTATGTGTTCTTTCAGACTATGTTCTATATGTATGACAAATTTCATTAAGATCTATTCAGCCGTTCTGGATACCTTCTACCAAACATTCATCTAAAAATTCGTATTTATTTAGTAAGATTGAATACAGTTTTGACTACATTTTATTTTATAAAGTTTGAAGAAATACGTTTTGAATTATTATTGTTTGATTTACGATATCATTTTAAAATAAACTGTTTAAATAAATAATTGGTTAATTAACTACTAAGATTAAAAATAAAACGGTATAAAAGATTTGACTTAACCGTCTAAATAACCAAAAAAACATCGCAAATACTAATCATAATGTAAAAATATATAATATGTTATAGCTAAACTTACTTGACAATATTAAGCACACAAAATTTAAAAATTAATCACAAACACGTGATATTGTTTTGTAAACACAACGACCATTATAATAACGCGCTAAGACGCCATCTTTTTTCAAAATGTCGCGCCGAAATAACTGTCAAACTTTTTTTTTAAATCGCAGCCAAACGTCCGCGCGTCATTCGGCGTTCGAACGACTGTTGAGTTTCATATTACTGGATTGTAAATAGAAATTTTATTTGCGGTGTGGCTGTTTCGCGCTTGGTTCGCTTCGAACTGGCGCTAAGTGACTCAGTGAGACGAGGGGATGAATATTATTTGTTTTTTTTTTAATATCTCAGATGGAAAAGTTCGTCAACCTTTTAGATTTAGATGATTCATAATTTCCAGTATTTATTTAACAATAATCCTTAGTAACCTTTACTTAATTACTAATATTATAAATGCGAAAGTAACTCTGTCTATCGTTCACGTTAAAACTACTGAACCGATTTAAATAAACTCGGCGGCAGGAATCGTTTATTTTTGTCATTCAAAAAACTTTTATACCATTATTAGGTAAAACAATTTTAAAAATAAAATTAAAAAATCATTTGTCATATTTTTATCGATAATCCTTAGCTTGAATTGATTTATCTATTTCAAGTAACTTCGCTGATAAATCGAAGAACAGATATCATATAAAACATAGTGCGACAACGAAGTCTTTCGACTCGATTCCAAATTCCTTATCACTGTAATTAAAATAACGTTGTGCGATGATATATTATTTACTAGCTGACGCCAGACTCCGTCCGGGAATTAAAAAAAGCTCAATTAGTAGCCTATGTGTATGACGATAATAACACATAGCCTGGAAGAAAATCTATGCCAAATTACAGCGAAATACATGCAGCCATTCTGAACCTTCATCCATCCAAAAATTCGCTTAGTAGACAGTCAGTAGTCTGTCTGTCAGACAATCAGTCAGTTAGTCTGTTAGTCAGTCAGTCAGTGGATGGATGACTGAGATTCGACTTACTTACTCCGCTGGCGCATCGACCCAAAGTATGTCTTGGCCTCCGACACAAGAGATCGCCAAAGTCGCCTGTCTAGACCCTTCTCCTGCCAGTCCATCGATTCGACTGTACTGATGTATTTAATTTATTAAATTGTATCAAGTCCTAAGTTTATGTGTTTATTTTTATCTATTCTTTATCGTAGAGACAAAGATTTTACAAAGTGATTACGTGTTTTGTGCATTTAGATAGCGTTCAGTGTTTGTAGTAATTCAGTAAGAATACAAGAGTGTTGCAAGATGTCTGACTCCGTGAATGTTAGTGATGGTGACAGTGGTGTGCAGGTTGGTTGGCCATTGTACAGTTAGCTGCATAAATGTATCATCATCAGCTCACTATACGTCCTCATTGTGCTGCTAGGAGCTTAAGTTAAGTTAGGGAGATTAGGTCATAGTCAAATACGCTAGCTAATTGCGGGTTAACACATATCTTTGAATTAATTCACAGATATGTGCAGCATCACGATGTTTTGCACTGTAAGAACGTCTGATAAATGTATATATGTAAATCGTAAATTGAAAACACATTGGTACACGGCGGTATTCGAACACAAGACCTGCAGATTACAAGTCGAAGTAGTTTTTGAAGTATACGAAATTTGTATACATATTTATGCAGCTGACTGTACATTCAGTTTTAACTATCACTAATCGTATAAAGTTCACTTGATCTAGAGTTGAACTGTACAACTTGACGTATCATCAAAACGTAATATTACTACGTATTATTTGTTAAACGTTTTTTTTTTGTGAGTCATAATTTGATGTTTGGTTGTAATATTAAATATTATACGCAAAATTATTAAACAACGAAGAACGCAATCTTACTAATCTTATATATAAAATCCTCGTGTCACAATTTTCGTTCCCATACTCCTCCGAAACGGCTTGACCGATTCTCATGAAATTTTGTGAGCATATTGAGTAGCTCTGAGAAACGGCCAACATTTATTTTTAATCACGCGCGGACGAAGTCGCGGGCGACAGCTAGTAATATTATAAACGCGAATGTTTGGATGGATAGATATTTGTTTGAAAGTATCTTCAGAACGGCTCAACGGATCAGTCTGAAAATTGGCATTCATGTAGAACATAGTCTGGAAGAACACATAGGCTACTTATTAAGTTTTTGTTTAATGCCGCGCGGACAGAGTTGCCGGCGACAGCTATTCGACATAAACTGTGAGTTTCTGGTATCAGAATTCTCGTTATTGTTATATTCTATCACAGATAATGATGGTATGTCATACAGAAATTTTGATATCAGAAAGTTAGGTTAGTTATTTTGAGTGTTGCCATTTCATTTTTCAAAAAACTACCAATTCTACAAAATCACAATTGATTTTCAGGTTACAGATAACAACCGTGGTGGATTACATGTTGCTGGTGGTGGCTATGGGGGTGTTAATACTGTCGACAACAGTGGTTATGGGGGTGTAAACGTTGCCGATAACAGTGGTTATGGCGGAGTAAGCATTGTTGATAACAGTGGTTACGGCGGAGTACATGTAGTCGACGATAGTGGCCAAGGTGGTGTAAACGTTGTCGATGATAGTGGTGACGGTGGGGTAAACGTGGTAGATGGTGGTGGCCATCTCAGAACACACAGCGCTCAGGTGACTTCGGGAGATGGAGAGATCAATATTGTCCCTGATTCAGGCTTCTATATGCCGCATGATTAAGTATACGTTTGGACCAAGTTTTGTCAAGGTAATTAACTTTAAATCAACAAATATATGTATTAGATTATAAAAATCTGTTTAATTGTATGATTTTTCATTAACCTATTTTGTTTTTGCAGGAAATGGCGGGAGAAGGAATGTCATAAAGTATTTAACAAAATTTTTGTAATTTTTAAAACAATAAAAGATTATTTTGGAGAGTATTAGTCATCTATTTAATTAACTTTAGCAACATAGATTGTTTGTGCAGGTTTTTAGAAATGACAACGAAGGTTAAAGCCCTATACTATTAGAAGAAATTTATGGCGCGAAAGTGAGCGTCATTGTCATTCGGGGCCGTCTCAGGTGGACTTATACTGTCCAGATTGATGAAATACTAAAAAAAGGCGGTATTAAGAGCATACGAAACCGACTTGCATGCTTAGATGTATCAATGTAGTCTCTACCTACCTACCTCTGGGTTACAGGCGTAAAGTTTTGTTGAACGATTACCGATGTTTACATGCAAGAAATAAGGGTTATCTGAAATAAGATTGATTTACTGCGATTAGCAATTTTTTGGGCACTTCGACTTACCAATAGCTAAAGAAGTCTTGTAACTCCATACAATCAACCTCCTTTCTCGGCACAGCTTGCATTTCCTCCGCAATACCGGAATCAACGTCCTCTTCACTTGAGTCGGTGTCAATATCCGAACGGACACTACTCATCTCACAGGTTTTTTTTATTACAGTATTTAACGGTTTGACACTACAATATTTAAATCTGGCTGCACGGTTAAAAAGCTTTTGTTTTTTCCTTTAAAAAGATAGTAGCTAGTGTTGTCACGTTAAAAATTATTTGGAATTTGGTAATTTTGATTTGTGGTTTTGACGCGTATTTTAAAATTATAAATCAGTAAATTAAAAAGACTTGTAAAGAAAGTGTACAAATATATTATTCAATAATATATGCGTACTTCAACATATTTTATTTGGTTGGTATTAAGTTAATGTAGTTAAGTTTAAGATTTTCATTTTAAAATAAAAACGAAATACAACAATCCCAGTCATATGATAAGTGGGCCTAGTACGAATATTTGCGACATACGCCTTCGTATCTTTATTACTCACCAAATAACTCTTACTAATTATGACATAATTTACGTTACGATACGAAGGCGATTGTCTTAAATATTCGTGCTAGGTACACAGTGGTAAGTTTTTGGCGGTGCTTTCGTAAGATGACATTTAACGCGGTGTTGCCAGCCAAAGCATTCGCCGGTGTATCGGGAGCGGGTATTTATAATGTGCCAGTTATTTATGGGTCGATCGAATCGATTAATCATTTCCTGGTTATGAAAATATTGTGTAAAGGAGGTGTATGAAAGAGAGATGTATGCAAGAGCGTCGGTGGCTCAGGGGTCAAGCACTTGACTTGCAATCTGCAGGTCCTGGATTCGAATCCCACCATGTACCAATGTGTTTTTCGATTACGATTTACATATGTACATTTATCCGACGTTCTTACGGTGAAGGAAAACATCGTGGTGCAACCTGCACATATCTGAGAAGAAATTCAAAGATGTGTGTGAAGTCAACTAACCCGCACTGGGCCAGCGTGGTTGACTATGGCCTAATCACCCTTAACTTAGGGTAGGCTCCGAGCCGCTCGGTGGGGACGTATATTGAGCTGATGATGATGATGGAAGAGAGAGTTTAGAAATATACGAATACTGTGTCGTCTCTACGTTTAGTAAAGTATAAGATGATGAAACGTTTGTACCTAAGGGAAATCTGTAATGCCTGCTCAATATCCTAAAGTAATCCTTATTCAAACGTCAGACAGCGTTGGTAGTTAAGGGGTTAAAGCGCTTGACTTGTAATCAGCAGATCCCAGGTTCAAATACATATACTAATGTGTTTTGCGATTTTCGATTTACATATGTATTATACATTTATCTAACTTACGGTGAAGGAAAACATCGTGATGCTGCACATATCTGTGAAGAAATTCAAAGATATGTGTGAAGTCACTGCACTGGGCCAGCATTGACTATGACCTAGTCTCATAACTTAGGGTAGGCTCCGAGCCTCTCAGTAGGGACGTATAGTGAGCTGATGATGATGAATCCATACAGTGTTACAGATGTACATATTAAATTGACGTGAGCATCGACTTTCTTTAGATTATATTGTCTATGACAATGATGCTATTGAAAAACAATCTTGGCAAACCTTCAATTAGGATTAAGAAGGATTAAATAAAGGTCTACTGGCAAAGTCAATAGCTAACCTTATCCTAATATTATAATAAATTAGCGTCTACTCATGACTTTGAGTAAGTGAATTAAAAAATCTAATCCCTACTATATATTAATATTATAAATGCGAAAGTTACTCCGTCTGTCTATATATCAGACTCTAGATTATCTGTGTGCCAAATTTCATATGAATCGGTTCAGTAGTTTTTTAGTTTTGTTGTAATATATTACAATAAAACTCAAAAACTACTTTTTATAATATTAGTGTAGATATTAAACTTTATTACAAATCTTAACGAAATTCGATATTGACAATTAAATAACCGAAAGTAGTTACGATGTTACATATTTTAGGTTAAGACATTCTTTATAACCACTTTGACGTTAAAATCAATCACCGCCACTCAAAAGGTTAATACTCGTTTAACCAAACAGTGTCTAATAGTATATATTGGAGTAATACGGTAATAGTTTAAAAAAACACTGATTTAATACTTAAGTATGAATACAATAAAAAAAACCATATTAAATTTATGCAATCTTGTTACGAAATGACTTTAAAACAAATATAATTACTAATTTAGTAACGTGCCAAGCACATCTTGGTAAATAGGTCATATTATTTTGTAAACTAACAATAAGACAATGTAAGAACATTTTTAGACGACAAATTATAATTTAAAAGTTGCACCAAGTCGCAGAAAATGACTCTAGTAATGTAACAATCTTTAAATTTTTTATCTAATTGTAATTATTAATAATTAAATGATTTAAATAAAAACTTTTCTTCTAATCAAAGATAAAATTAAAATCGGATTAAATACTTTTTAGATACTCACAAATCAACGCCATCTTTTGGAATTTACACAAAACAAAGCTTTCACTACTTTGATTTTATTTACACGAGAGCGCGTAATTCAGCCGAGTTAAAATAAATCAGAATACCAAATCAATATAGAAAAATTATATTATACGTGCGATTGGAGTCTTGGCACATTAATGTTTGAACAAGTTTTATTATAACATAAAATACAATTAAAATAATAAATATTTTAATTATGTCATTGTCTATTGTTGAGATGTCAAATATCTTACGTCATTGTATATGGAAATAAGATGTTATTTCAAGGAATATAAAACAATTTGATTTATTTACGGAAGTGGAATTAAATATGCAATCCTATTGTTCGGTTATTAATATTACGATAACGATTTTATAGTAGTTCGTCTATAAAGAAGTGACTTATTGACCCTTTACTACATTAAAGGTGACTGGTGGGAAATGTCAAAGAATTTAAAAATGTTCTAGAATTTTTTGTTTATGATATACGACAATATAAATGAAAACAATATTAAATTTATTTACCAATGACAACACTAGCTTTTTTTATACACGTGATGCACTTGTCAAAAATATATTTTTTTCACAACACTTTTTAATAACACTGGCCACTAATTTTCGAAATTTGCGATTTTTTTTTTTAAATTTTTAAATTGCGCGCGGACGTTGTTTTGTTTGCAGACGATCACAAACTAAATGCGTTTTATTCGCTCAACATTTACTATTCGGAACAAGAAATGTATGGAGCAATTAGTGTAAATACATTTTTGGTTGACATAATATTTTCATATTGAAAATAAAACCCGACATAACACTTGGCATTCTCATGTATCTAAATTAGTTTTGTATTCACAGTAAAAAACTATAATAAGAGCTTTCCAAATGACTATTGAACGAATTTACAATTGAATCTAAAACGAAATGCTTAACAAACATTTAAACAAATTACGGCTAACATTACTGGATGAATTTGCTGAAATCAATGTAATTTCAACAAGAGTGATTGTAAACGTCTTTGGGTGATTTAATTTTTAGTTATAAAAAGCAACTCCATGCCGCCCTTGTCGTAAAGTAAGCCAAACGACATAGTCTATTCTCGAGCGGGTTCAAACGTCGCTGCGACGCGCGTCTTGCATTTATTATTGCACAATTTTAAATACATACTTATATTTAATTATATCTTATTATAATAATTACAAATAACAATATAAAAGATAACGGGAAAGTAATACGTTGAAGAAAAAATTACAAGAAAAAAGTTTGGAATCTCTGGTCAAAGTATAAGCTGTCAAAAACGGACAAGGTCATCCCGCGTAAAAGTTTGACATTTAGGAAAAACGTAATTTATTATTATTTTTAAATTTAGTAAAAAACGAATATTATCTTTATTTATTAAGATATGTTTGGTTATAATTATCGTAATTTTTGTCTTAGATATTATGTAAATTGTTTCACAATGAAATGGAAGTTTGTAGAGCGTAGAATATTTCTTTCTGTTGACGTACGATGGTCACGGATGTGAGTGACATGCCAATCTTGTACCACCTGCCAAAGGGACTCATTGTTAGGGTGAAACAACAACGATTCTTACTAATAGTATAAACTAGCTGTCGCCCGCGACTCCGTCCGCGTAGATATACTTACTTACTAATATTTGCATTTATAATATTAGTAAGTTAAATAAAAAGCAGCTCTTCAAGGCATAAATTCGAATAAAAAATGAATAAATAGTATCCTATGTCCGTCTCCTGGCTCTAAGCTACCTCCTCACCAATTTTCAGGCATATCGGTAAAGCTGTTCTTGAGTTATATATAGTGTAGCTAACTCCACTTTCTTTTATATATATAAGATGCGAATGTTTAGATGGATGTTTGTTAGAATCTCCAGAACGACTAATCTTGATGAAATTTGGCATAGATGTAGAACATAGTCTGGAAGAACACATAGGCTACTAATTAAGTATTTTTTTTAATTTCTCGCGGATGGAGACACGGATTACAGCTTTCGAACATATCGAGAGCGTATACAAGTTAGAGGTGACTAGATCATAGTCAATTCTGACAGGCATTGACTTCACACATATCTTTGTCATTTCACAGATATGCAGGTCGGATAAATG